TCATGCTGGAGATCACATGAGAGAATTTTGCAAGACCAATGACTTACTCATTGCATATACCTTTTTCAACAACATAAACAGCAGTGATGCACATGGACTTCGCCTGACAGAATACACAGGAATCAGGTCGATTACATATGTGGAAAGAGGCCAAGGAGGTCTTCAGCCAAAACAAGGCCAGGAGCTGACTGTGGAACAGACCATCAGCTGCTAATATGCAAGTTCATCAACTGCTTATATACAAGTTCAAGTTGAACCTGAAAACAATTAAAACAAGTTCACAAGACCTTGACTATATCCCATCTGAAGAACAGATTTAATGAATTCAACACCAATGACCAGAATCCAGACAAATTATAGGATGACATCAAGAACATTATATGTGAAGAAAACAAAAAGTCATTAAAAAGATAGGAAAGGAAGAAAAGACCAAAATGGATGTCAGAAGACACTCTGAAATTTGCTCTTGAATGGAGAGTAGCTAAAACAAACAGTAGCTAAAACAAAGAGCTGAATAGAAAATTTCAGAGAGCAGCTTGAGAAGACAAAGTCAGTTATTACAATAAAATGTGCAAAAACTGGAGTTAGAAAACTAAAAGGGAAGAACACACTTGGCATTTCTCAAGCTGAAAGAACTGAATAAAAAAATTCAAGCCTCAAACTGCAATATTGAAAGATTCTATAGGCAAAATATTGAATGATGCAGGAAACATCAAAATAAGATGGAAGAAATACACAGAGTAACTGTACCACAAAGAATTGGTCGATGTTCATCCATTTCAGGAGGTGGCATATGATCAACAACCAATGGTATTGTCAGAAAACATGAATAGACACTTCCCCAAAGAGGATATTCAGGCAGCCAAAAAACATATGTTTGTCACAATCATTAGCCATTAGAGAGATGAAAATCAAAACAACAATGAGATACCACCTTGCCTCAGCACTAGTAGCAAAGTTCAACAAGACAGAAAACAACAAATGCCAGTGAGGATACAAAGAGATTGGGACTCTCATACAGTGCTGGTGGGACTGTAAAATGATACAACCACTGTGGAAAGCAGTATGGTGATTCTTTAAAAAAGCTGGAATTAGGAATACCATTTGACCCAGCCATTTCATTACTAGGTATATATCCTAAAGAAGTGAAAGCCAGGACAAGAATAGATATATGCACACTCATGTTCAATGCAGCACTATTTACAATAGCAAAAAGATGGAAACAACCTATGTGCACATCACTAGAAGAAGGGATAACCAAACTGTGATACATACACACAATGGAATACTATGCAAACCTAAAGAATAACATAGAATCTGCAAAGCATTGCATAACGTGGATGAACTTGGAGCACATTATGCTGAAGAAAATAAGTCAGTCACAGAATGACAAATATTGTATTAGTCCATTATTGTAAAAAGTCAAGGAAAGGTTTATATATGGAAGGAAATTTTCTTTGATGGTACCAGGAGTGGGAGGGGAGGGGAAAGAACATGATTAGATAGGCAGAGACAAGTATTGATGTGAGTGAAGACAAAGACAGTGTACCAAATGTGAATGATTAACATGGTTGCTTTGAGGAAGAGGAAGACATAGAGAAGCGCATGGGAGGGACAGACAACAAAGATGAACCCTTTTGCAAATACAGTACAGCATTGTCATTGAAGGCAAACATTGAGGTATGGGTGGATAGATGGGTAGACAGACTGTACTATTAGGTATGTCTATATAGGGGGGGAAGGAGCTGTGGTAGTGTAGTGTCTAAGGCACTTGACTGCTAACCAGAAGATTGGTGGTTCAAATCCACCAGCCACTCCTCGGAAGGAAGATGAGGCAATCTACTTCCATAGTGATACTGCCTCGGAAACCCAAGGAGGGGTTGCTATGAGTTGGGTCCAACTCGATGGCACATAACAACAACAACATATAAGGGGAGTGTGCCCAAGACCATGGATGGCAGACAATGTTTCTATAAATGTATTTGTATGTTCTGGAAGAATTCCCAGGTATATAGTACAGTTGTCAAGGAACAAGGTTGTAGTCACTTCTTGGCCACAGTCAGTTACCCAGAGGGGAGTAGCTAGACCTGTGGGCCCAGGACCATAGTTGCAGGGGACATCAAGCTCAAATGGCATAACATACTACACAAAACATTGTTCCACATCCTACTTTGGCATGTAGTGACTGAGATCTCAAAAGCTTGCAAGTGGCCACCTAGATGAGACAATGGATTCTCCTCATCCAGAGCAAAGAAGAATGAAGAAAACCAAAGATTCATGGAAACAATTAGTCTAAGTGACTGGTACACCATGTGATGATAAGCCTACATGACTATGAGACCAGAATAACTAGCTGGTATCCAGCTACCACTGTCAACCACTTAGAGGGGGATCTATGTATAAGATCCTGGATAGAGTGGGAGAAAAATGTGGAACAAAACTCAAAATCATTAAAAAAAAAAAAAAAAAAAAGGACCAGATTTGCTGGTCTGATAAAGCCTAGGGAAATCCCTGAGACTACGGCCCCTAGCTGCCCTTCAGGTCTGGAATTGAACCCATTCCTGTGGCTTTCAGCCAAACAAAAGACAGGCATATGAGCTGAACATTTACATTAGGTAGATACATTCCCTGGAGAGATCAATCATGGGAGAATAGAAGGGCTATGTATACACAAGGCAACAGCTTGGGGGATAGGAGTGAATGAGAGGGAAGGACATAGGGAAGACATAGTTATGGGGAGGAAGTGGGAGAGGAGCTGTTACATTGTGGGAAATTGCAGTCCATGCCATGAGACAAAGCATATGTGAGCTGCTGTATGGAAAGTGAATTTGCTCTGTAAACTTTCACCCAAATCAAAATAATTTTTTTTTTTTTAAAAAAAGAACCAATGATATTGAAAGAAGTTGAAGCTGCACTGAATGAATTTGTGAAAAACAAGGCTCTAGGAATTCATGGAATAACCAAAGAGATGTTTCAGCAAATAGAAGCTGTGCTGGAGCCACTTACTTGTTTGTGCCAAGACAACACAGAAGACAGCTACCTGGCCAACTGACTGGAAGAGATCCATATTTGCACCCATTCCAAAGAAAAGTGAGCCACCAGAATGTGGAAATTATTTAAAAATATCATTAATATTGCATGCAAGTAAAATTGTGCTGAAGATAATTCAAATATGGTTGCAGCAGTGTATTAGAAATGCAAGCTGGACTCAGAAGAGAATGTTAAATGAGGGATATCATTGTTGATGTCATATGGATCTTAGTTGAAAGCAAAGAATATCAGAAAGATGTTTACTTGTGTTTTTTCACTATGCAAAAGCATCGATTGTGTGGATCATAACAAATTATGGATATCATTGAGAAGAATGGGAATTCTACACCACTTAAATGTGCTCATGAAGAACCTGTACATAGACTAGTAGGCTGTCATTCAAACAGAAAAAGGGGATACTGCATGGTTGAAAATCAGGAAGTGAGTGTGTCAGGGTTGTATCCTTTCACTATACTTATTCAATCTGTGTGTTAGGCTGGGTTCTGTAGAGAAGCAAAACCAGTAAAGCTTATAGAGAGAGAGAAAAAGAGAAATTTATCTTAGGAAAATGGCTCACATACTTATAGAAGCTGGCAAGTCCCAAGTTCTTGGATCAACTGTCAAGCTAGCAGCTTTTCCCAACTCACACAGCTACAGGAGCTGACGAGCTGAAGGTTGGCAGGCAGTGTACTGGGTGTTGACTCCAACGAATGACGACTCCAAGATCTCCGGGCTGAATGGTGGATTGCTTGCTCACGGACAGTTGTAGGCAGCACAACAGGATCCCAATCCACAGAAGAGTGTCTCTTTTCCCCAGGATGTCCATAAACATATTGGAAGCAGGGTACACCCCTAGGGAAACTCCCTTTCAATGGATTGGCTGCTCAAAACATATACATCCAATCTCATCATGGGCATAACCCACAGCACAACTGCTTAAACCACTCAGAATTGTGGTCCAGCCAAGTTGACACACAACTCCAACTATCACAATCTGTATGCTGAGCAAATAATTTGAGAAGGTGGACTATATGAAGAACATGGCATCAGGGTTGGAGGAAGACTCATTAAGAACCTGTGCTATGCAGGCGATACAACCTTGCTTGCTGAAAGTGGGGATGACTTGAGCATTTACTGGGAAAAAGTAAAGACCACAGTCTGCAGTATATTACACCTTAACACAAAGAAAACAAAAATTCTCACAACTGGACCAATAAGCAACATCAATATGAATGGGGAAAAGGCAGAAGTTGTCAAAGATTTCAGATTATTTAGTTCCACAATCTACACCAATGGAAGCAGCAGTCAAGAAATCAGATGACATATTGTGCTGGACAAATCTGCTGCCAAAGACCTCTTTCAAGTGCTGAAGAGTAAAGATGTCTCTTTGAAAACTAAGGTGAACCAAGCCATGGTATTTTCAATCATCTCTTATGTATGTGAAAGCTGTATCATGAATAAAGAAGACTGAAAAAGAGTTGATGTTTTTGAGTTGTGGTGTTGGTGAAGAATACTGAAAGTACCATGGACTGGCAGAAGAACAAAAAAAATCTGTCCTGGAAGAAGTACATACAGAATGCTCCTTAGAAGTGAGAATGGCCAGACTTTGTCTCACCTACATTGGTCATGTTGTCAGAAGGGACGTTCCCTGGAGAAGGATATCATGTTTACTACATCGGAGAGTCAGCAAAAAAGGAGAAGGCTCTCAATGAGATTGATTGACACAGTAGCTACAACGATAGCCTCAGGTATAGCAAGGATTGTAGTGCTGGCCCAGGATCTGGCAGTGTTTCGTTCTGTTGTGCATAGGGTTGCTAAGAGTTGGAGCTGACTCGATGGCACCTAGCAACAACTGAGCTAATGTGCACATTAACTGTGCTGATAGCTGGACTTATGCTCCTCTGAGGAATTAAAAGTAACTAAATATTAAAGCTATAAAATCTAAATTTAAAAAAAAAAAAAAATTATACCTGCAGGCCTTGCCCATCCACAGTAACAGAGTTGGCTCTTTGCATTTTGTTCCGGTCAGTCATTTTGTTGGGTTGCTGGGAACCACCCTTTTCCTTTTTCACTGTTGCCTGTCTTTCCTATAAGGAAAAAGTAAACCTTTTATAAAAATGTTGACTTGTTTTAGTAACAACTAAAAATTAGTATAAGAGCTTTTCATGACTATAAACTTGGGTCCAACTCCCCAATTTGAAGTTTCTATTGAATAATATGAGTGTTGCCTCTTTCAACCCAGCTCCTTGGCTTATTGTATATGATAGCTCCATAGTCAACATACTGGTTAAAGAAATGATGTGAAATAAAATCTAATTGTATTATCCCTATGTGCCCAATTATGAGTCTTTAAATATTGGGTCCAACATGACGGCACATAACAATAACAAAAATAAAACACAAAGGCCACCTAAAGTTGATTATAAACAGTAATAGATAGTACTAGATTCTAATTTTAAAATTTAATTATTAAGTACAAAAAGAGTATTTATAAATATAGGCAGTACTGAAAATGGATATGAATTGTCTGATTGGAGTGTTAAGCTACTTTTATATCAAGGATGTCATATAACTTAAATTAAAACTCACATTCCAGACCTAATTTCTCCACATTTCATAATGGAAAAAGTCCCTTTAGAAGTTGTTTGCTCCTTGTTCCTATTTCCTCTCCTCTCACTCTTTCTTCAGGAGCTCTGGTGGCGTAGTACCTAAGGCATTTGACTGCTAACCAGAAGGCTGGCAGTTCAAACCACCATATTCTCCTCGGAAGGAAAACTGGGCAGTCTACTTCCATAGACATACTGCCTCGGAAACCCAAGGAGGGGTCACTATGAGTCAAATTGACTAACCAAATCCAGTCATCTTTTATAACCACTACTTCACCAAGTCAGTTTTTATTAAAAACACCAATGATGTCTAATTGCCTCACCTAATTGGCAGTCTCCATTTTTTCAACTTGTCAGTAGCATTTGACAGAACTGGCTTCTTTTTCCCATTCTAACTCTTGTCTCACTTGACTTCCAGCACACTTTTTTCCCTCAGTTCTCCTCTTACCTCACTGTTCCCTCAGTTTCTTGTTGCTTCCTCCTTCAATTTTGCAATCTATAAACCTTAGCTTCTTCCTTGGACCTTTTATCTTACTGTCTACACTCACTCCTTAGGTTATCCCATTCAATTTCAAGTCTTTAAGTTTCTGTTTTATGAGGACTTCTAAATTTATATCCCCAATTCAGACTTGTCCCTTGAGCCTTGACCTATATACACAAACCAATTGGCTATTTCTCCACATAAATGTCTAAAACACATACCAAACCTAAAATATACCAAACTATTTTTTAAAATTTCTGCTTATACCTCTTTAAAATAAATTCTGAACAGGACCATTATTAACCCTTTCCATCATTACCTAGCTCAAACCACCATCATTGTTTTGCTTGGGTTATTACAATCATCACCTAATCAGTATACATCCATCCTGTTCCTTAACAGTCAATTCTCTGTACAACTACTATGGCAATGTAATAAGTGGTTTCCCTTCTATTCAGACAAAAATCCAGTCTTTTCCAAGAGCCACAAAGACCAACAAAATTGGGTGCCATTGTCCTTCTGCTCTCATCTATTATCATACTCATTCTTTTCACTCCATTCCAACTGTACCAGTCTCCTCATTGTTCCTTGATCACAACAACCACACTGTACATCAAGGCTTTTTCAATCATTCTGCGCTCTGCTGGAACACATTCCCCAGTGTATTTGTCAGGCTTGCTCCTCACTTACATCAGGCCCCTGATCAAATGTTAGAGAGGCTTCTCTATTTCCTTTATCATCCTTTTAAAATTCACATTATTATGAAATTCACACTATTATCTGAAATGTTATCTGTTTCATCTGTTTATTGTTGGTCTCCTTCATCTTAATGTAAGCTCATTACTCTACATGCAATCTTAAATCAATGCCTGATTGAAGTCAGTAAAAATGAATGAATCTTAACATTATAATACTGGTTGTTTTTGTTTTTAGTTTTGGTTTTTAAATGCTTGCCATATTATGTTGAGGAGAATTCATACCAAGCCTAGACTCAGTGGGAAAAAAAATATATATATATATATATCCTGACTGATTAGCAATGTCTTTCATGGGTGCTTCAGTGGAGAGTAGATTGACTGCTATATATTTCCTATTATTGATTCAGATATACATTTCCTAGGCCCTATATATATAAGAAGACTTGGTGGCACATTGGTTAAATACTCAGCTGCAAACTGAAATGTTGCTAGTTCAAACCCAACAGTTGATTCACAGAAGATGTGCCAATCTTCTTCTATAAAGGTTTCAGCCTTGGAAATCCTAGACCATCTACTGTGTCTTTTGAGGTCTCTATGAATCAGAATCAACTAGATGTATGCAACGATAGGCTCCGTATTTTCTTTTTAGGGTATAGTTTTAGTTTCTGTTTTTTGAAACGATATTTTTAAGTAGCCCTAAAAGTAAACCTTTTAAAATATATCAAGGGCATGTGGATCAGAGAGATTCTCAGGCCAAAACAAATGTTAATCAGTGTAGTTCATTTTCTCTGCACTTTCGAGATACAAATATACTATGTTTACTTTTGATAAATAATCTTGTTTTATTTTTAATTTTTTTATGGTGATTGGGAACAATAGTCCTATTTTGGATGGGGTTGCCATGAGTTGCAATTGACTGAACAGCTAATGGTTTATTTTACAGTATAGGGAACTGAGAGTCAGAGAAGCTAAGTAATTTGTTCAAGGTCACATAGTAGAAAGCCACAAAGCCAAGATTTTATTTTATTTTTTGGCTGTAGGACTTTTTTTTTTTTTTTTTTTTTTAATTGTGCTTTGGGTACAAATTTACAGAGCGGAATTTGTTTTATATTCAACAGTTTGTGTACATTTGATTTCACAATCTGATAACCATCCCCAACCCTAGCCCACTCTCCTCCCCTCCCTTTCCTGTGACACCCCACCCACCATGCCGTTCTGAACTATGCTCTCCTGTCTGTCCAGGATTCCCTCCATGTGAATGCTGCCGCTCTGGTGCCCCATGGCCGAATGCTCCCAGGGGTGCATCTCCATAGAGTAGGTGGGTGTAACACTCTGAGTTGGGTGTTCTGCATGTAAGTCTCTCTACTGTTGGGCAGAGGGCCAGTCCTTGGGAGTTGCATTAGACTCCATCCGACCAGTAATTCTGGTCATCAGTGTTTTTGAATTTTGCTCCATAGTTTTCCTCTATCCAGGATCTCCAGTTTTTTGGTTTTTCTTTTTTCTGTGTTCCCTCCCCTCCCCTCCCACCCCTGGTAACCAACAAAGAAGTTACCTTTCATACATAAACCTTTCCTTGACTTTTTACAAGAATGAAATAATACTATGTTTGTCCTTCTGTGATTGACTTACTTCACACAGCATAATGTCCTCCAAGTTCATCCACATTACGTGGTGCTTTGCAGGTTCTACATTATTCGTTAGGGTTGCATAGTATTCCATTGTGTATATGTACCACAGTTTGATTATCCCTTCTTCTGTTGATGTACACATAGGTTGTTTCCATCTTTTTGCTATTGTAAATAGTGCTGCGAGGAACATGGGTGTGTATGTATCTGTTCTTGTCCTACCTCTCACTTCTTTAGGATGTATACCTAGTAATGGGATTGCTGGGTCAAATGGTATTTTGAATTACAACTTTTTAAGGAATCACCATATTGTTTTCCACAGTGGTTGTATCATTTTACTGTCCCACCAGCAGTGTATGAGAGTTCCACTCTCTCCACATCCTTGCCAGAATCCACCTTTTTCTGTTTTGTTGAATTTTGCCATTAGTGCTGGCATGAGATGGTATCTCATTGTTGTTTTGATTTGCAACACTCTGATGGCTAATGATCATGAGCATATCTTCAAGTATTTGCTTGCTGCCTGAATATCCTCTTTAGAGGTGTCCTTTCATGTATTCTTCCCATTTTTTAATTGGATTGTTAATCTTTTTGTTGTTGAGGTGTTGGAGTTTTCTATAAATTTTAAAGATAAGTCCCTTGTCAGGTATGTAATTATTGACAAATATGAATTTGTTGTTGTCATTTTGTTATGTGCTTTTTTTGTGGTGTTAATTTCTTTGTTTCATATAATTTTCTGTGCTGAGCTTATTTTATCCATGAATTGTGTTATCACTTCCTTCATTGCTATTGTTTTAGTATTTGCTAAATGTTTGGACTGGCCATCTTTTTTATTTTGATGTGAAGGTTTATCATTTTTCTTTGAGGTTTCTCTGTGATGTATAATTTCTTCCTAAGTTTAGAACAGTCTGTTCTATCTTGACATTGTCTAGACTTTCCTACATTTAGAAGTTCTGTAACTACAGGTTTTTTTTTTTTTTTTCCCTCTTTTTGGTTTGTAGTTGTCCTCATTTGTCAATTGATGTCTCTAGATCTCTGTTTACAATCTTGTAGGCTTATTTACTTTGGATTCTTCTATAACTGGGTTGGTTTATGGATTATGTCATCATGTGTGTTAATGGTCTGTTGCTGTTGGTTGTTGTTGCTTCTCTGACCAAAGGGCTCCCTTAAGCATCTCTTGTAAGGTTGGTCTGATTTTAACAAATTCTCTTAATTTCTGCTTATCTGGAAATGTCCTAATTTCACCATCATATTTGAGGGACAATTTTGCTGGGTATATGATTCTTGATTGGAAATTTTTCTCTTTTAGTGTTTTATATATACCATCTCAATTTCTTCTCACCTGCATGGTTTCTGCTGGGAAATCTGAGCTTAGTCTTATTGGTTGGCCCTTGTAGGTAACTCTTCATTTTTCCCATGCTGGTTTTAGGATTCTTTGTCTTTTGTTTTGGTGAGTTTGATGATGATATGTCTTGGTGATTTTCTTTTGGGGTCTATCCTATTTGGGGTTCATTGGACTTCTTGAATGGATGCATTCTCATCTTTCATCATACCAGGAAAATTCTCTTCCAACATATCTTTGACACTTATTTTTGTGGTTTATTTGTCTCTTCTTGTTCTGAAATTCTGATTACACAAAAGTTATTCCTTTTGATGGTATCCCACATGAATCTTACACTT